CCTTCCCTTCCCTTCCCTTTTCTCTTTCTTCCTCTCTTTACCTCGTTATTTCTCTCCTTTCATTCTTTGATAATAATTTTGGTGCCAGGATGTCTTAAATTCTACAACACAAAGCAGCAAGGTTGGATAGGACAGCATTTAGTGTGCCATTCATTACAAATTACAGAAATACTAAAGCTGCCAACATACACATAACACATTCTGCAAAACACATGGCAAAAGCTCCATTGTCCTCTCTTTTCCCTTTTGTTCTTGTTTTACCTCATATGCCCCCAAATCAATAGCATTCTGTTGACTGATTCCCTGGTATTGACTACCTAGGACATTCAGCAGATGCAACTTTACAAAAAAAAAAAAAGTTATAACATTGTTAAACTGGCCTTACAAACTAAGAACCGGTATTTCTTACTTTACTGTTTTTACTTTTTATTCTTATGGTTTTCAGTTGCTTCCTTGTTTTGCCTTGCATACAGTTTTATTCAGCAATCTGATATCTGAATAACATATGGTTATATGGTATTTTATGTTTTTTTATAGTGGATACATTTGCTGATATTGAGTCATGTAGCATATCATAGTGCTTGGTGGTCACTAAAGCATCAGGGGGAGAGATCTCTGCACTACTGAGCTCAAAACAATCAACTGCTACATGAGTGACACATTTTATTCATCAAACAGAGGGGATTTCTGATCCTAAAGAACTGAACCCCAGACTGAAACAGAACTAATTGTTGTACTTCAGATCTATGACTAAGTCATGTTACAAAATTTAAATAAAATACATTACTAAATGTAAAATACATTCCTACAGCATTATACTTACCCTGAACTTATTTTTCTGCTTGCTGAACCTGCAGTAGTTTAGTTGGTTGGTTGATTGTTTTAGGCTTGTTTTGATTCTTTTGTTTGTTTGTGTTTTTGGATTCTGTTGTTGTTTGTTTGGGGGTGGGTTGTTTTGATTTCATTTTTTTACAGGTAATTTCTTATTTCTTCTATCTCTCCCCTCAGAATTTTTTTCAGCTTTTTATTATATTGAGTTGGAGCTAAGATGATCCTTCTGATCTTGTTCCAAGAGTGAATTGGAAGGGCAGCTCTGCACTGACAAGCAAAACCTGACCTCCACTCTCCCTTAGCTACGTTTTTCTGCATTTCTACATTTTAACCAGAATCACTCATTTACCATAACCTCCTATAGCTTTTGATGCACCCAGAGCTTTTTATCTTGCTTCACAAATTCTTCCTGACTCTCTGCTTCTGTTCACCAGTGTGCCACTATGATTTTCTATTATTATACCTCTTCTCATAGTGAACCACGTACAATCTATGCCAGAAGCTTGAAACAGGAAAGGGAATTTGCTGTATCAGCAAGTTCCTTGAAAAATACTATTGAAAAATACTTTGCTGCTAGGGCAACAAAGGAGAAAAGAGTTTCTTCCTTGCCCAAATGTCTAAATTACTCCTCGGATTCCTTTTCACATTCACACACTAGTTTTCTCTGTTTAACACTTATATTAAAATACACCTTGATTAAATATGCCTTCATTTAACTCTTCCTGATATCTTTAGAAGATTGAATTGAACTGTTACAACTTAGCCCTATATTTGATGATTTGTCTGCTGCAAAGCTGCAGAAAATATGAGTCATCTTTTGCAGGCAGAACTTTTCCGATCACCATGGCACAGGGACTCCTTTTTTTTTCCTAAATTTGAAAATACCAGTCTTCAGAGCACAGTTTGAATAGCAGAGATGAATCAGAAACACCAGCCATTTTCTCCCTATGTGCCTGATTCCATTAGGAGCAGGGCAAAGATTTCTGCATCTGCAGAGCTGAACCCTTAAAAATATTTATTGTTTTATAGAGACACTGCAGAAAGAGACACCATTGAAGAAAATATCTCTAATCATTGCTTACTTCATCAACCTGATCTGCCACAAGAGGGCAGAGGCTGATGTCACTCAGCTTCATCTACTGTCACATGAGAATGTCAGGGATCTTTAATGGGAAAATTTATCATGTTTAAATACCAGGGTGAAAAATGAAATTCCATTAACTATTTTTAAATGTCTTTAGGCCAAAAAGTCAAATGCAGCAACAGAACTCTATTACTGCTGTTGCAATGACTACAACTACCATAGCTTATTTATAAGGCATTTATTACACACACACATGTATAGAAAAATATGTGTATGGAGCAAGTTTAAAAATGTGTCAAGCCAAGATACTGACACCTTTGTGTCAGTACACTTTGTGTACCTTTGCTCATTATAATAAATGGGTAGATTTTGAAGTGGGGAAGTGTTAGACATTCAAAACTATGATGCCAGTCTTAGAATAGTTTAAAAACTCTGCATTTGCTGAGCAAAAAATGAGTGAATATGCTAGTAAGGGCATAAATAGACCTTATTTTTAGGAGAGACAGTAAAAGAAACAATGGACATGGATGCTGTGACCTGCCATCATTACAGCACACTGATGCCTTGGTGCTGAATAGGTAGCAGAGAAACTCAAATCAATAATGTGTTATATTCTGCACTGGTACAATGGTTTTGATGGAAAAGTGAGGAAATGAAAAAATCCAGCTCAGTTTTTACACTGGGGTAATTTATATTGCATACACTGACTTCCACTGCCTTAAAATTTCTGATAAATTGAAGTTGATGGAACTATGACTTAAGAATTTGTGGGCTTAGATTCTGACAAATCCCACTCCTGTTTCTTACTGGTAAGAATTGCTTATAATCATATTTGTACTTTGAAAAAGTTTCCATGGATTATCAGCTGATTCAACTACTGAAATGAAACCTTCAATACCACTCATTGATGTATTTGTCATTAACAGAAACTGCCTAAAAAATACAGGAATTTCTTTTTCTTCTTGCTAATATTGCAGCTGTAAAGCAAGAGCAGTTCTTGCCCCTGTCAGGTTTTTTTCCTGAGCTCCAGCTTAGTAAAAAAATACATTACAGAAGCAAGAGAGGAAACGATAATGCTCTTTTCAATTTTTGTTAAAGCATATTTTAACAAAATGCAGACTTTTGTATAGTGAGACTGCTACCATGCTCTCTGTTCAATGCCTTCTTAAAGATACTGTTAGACACTCAGTGGGAGGAGAAACAGCAAAAATCTCTGCACATTTTCATGCTCACAAAACTGATGGTGATGATTGTAATTATAAAGGACAGCATGAATGAGGTAGTTACAAAATTCTGATAAGATAACTTGCCTAGCACAGTGCTCTGTCAAAAAATTAAAACCTATCTATTACAGGGGTAAAAAAACAGCCTTTTCTCCACCCTGAAAAATTTTGGGAGGAAAGAAGAAAAGGAAAAGGAAAAGGAAAAG